TTAACTTTTAGGAGGGGTTCAGAAGCAAGCCAAGGAATCCTGGTCATGAAGCCCGTCGGCCCCTTCTTGCAGAAGATGCTCCAGAAGTTTCCGAAGCTTCTCGTGCAGCTCGTCTACCTCCTGATCCATCTCGCCTTCTCTGTAGCCACCATGCTTGTGGCGGTGCTGATGTGGCGCTCCCAAATCGCGCACTTCACGTTCTTATCAGCCATTGTCCTCTCCACGATCAAGAACCTAGGTAGGCCTTTGGGACATTTTATATTTTCCTTTATTGGGCTTAAGAGGATCTTATTTACGAATATTTTTCAGAGGCTTTGAGGGGCCAACCTAGGAACGCTGGCGACTTCTACATGGACGTCATCAGCAGCAAGTACGAAGAAGCTGCAAGCAACTCCAAGGTTCCACCCTAAACCCTAAACCCTAAACCCTAAACCCTAAACCCTAAACCCTAAACCCTAAACCCTAAACCCTAAACCCTAAACCCTAAACCCTAAACCCTAACTGCAAGCAACTCCGAGGTTCCAGTGAGCAAGAAGATCCTTAGCGCCTCAGGGGCTCTTGCCGACGTCATGCTGGGAAAGTGATTAGGGTATAGGGTTTAGGGTTTTAGGGTTTAGGGTTTAGGGTTTTAGGGTTTAGGGTTTAGGGTTTTAGGGTTTAGGGTTTATAGGGTTTAGGGCGGTGCCGAAGTTTCAGAAAACTCCTGGGGTTACTTGGAGGATCATGGCACTTAGTTCTTAAGGTTCTAGACAAGGTAACTACAGTTATCACACTTATAGCTAGCAGGGTCTCGGGTTTGGGGTAGGGGTGCCTTCGAATTTGAAGGGGCGGTCCCCTCCTTCTGAAACTCCGTGTCACTTGCAGCCTTAGGCATCGCTTACTTTCACCCCGCAGAAAAAGGGCCCAGCTCGGGATCAATCACGCCTGCTCCCTAAACCCTAATCCCCAAGTAAGGCCTCAAGCACTGAACCTAAACCCTGAACCCTGAACTTTAAACCCTAAACCCTACACCCTAAACCCTAAACCCTAAAGCCTACACCCTCCTCCATCCCCAAGAGCTGGCAGGATCTGCTCCTCATCGAGCCGGATCTGGTGCAAATGGCCAAAGGCCTCAAGGCGGGATCTCTGAAGCCCCCCTGGCCCTTCAAGGAGCCCTATAGTATTCTTTGTAAAGGAACCCCATAATTTTCGTTTAAAGGAACCCCACAATATTCTTTTTACAGGAACCCTAATAGTATTCTCTTAAAGGCTATATATTTTTTTACAGGAACCCTGGAATGAACTCTTAAAGGAACCCGTAATTTGCTTTAAAGGAACCCTAGAGCCCATCCTCTTTTGAGGGAGCTCTGCGTGCGGGACCTCTAGTCTCCGGTGTCGTAATTTAGGGTTTAGGGTGTAGGGCTTAGGATTCATAGTATGGTATGGTATGGTATGGTATGGCGTGGTATAGTATGATTTGGTATGCTATTGCGTAGTAGAGTAGAGCATTGTGTAATATGGTATAATCTAGGATACGATGTTTAAGCAACTTCATATTTTGGTCCTACAAGGTAACTACAAAACAAAGAGCTCCAAGGGAGAACTACAGGTAGAGCTCAAGCTCTTACTGACTTCTACCGTGCCAGTGCAACGTCCTAAGCCCTGAAACCCTAAACCCTAAACTTGCTGACTTCTGCCGTGCCAGTGCAACTTCCTGGCCGTGGAGTATCCTGGCTACGGCCTCTGTGCCCGCAGCAAAGGATGCGAGGAGGCCGGTTCTACAACCTTTTACCTCAACCCCTAAATAGCCTACCCTAAACCCTGCACCTTAAACCCTAAACCCTAACCGGTGCGAATAACTTGCCTTGTTTCAGACTTATATATTGTAAGGGAATCATAGTAAGACAACCCTTGCCTTAGCTGTGAATAACTTTCCTTTCTAAGGGTTCAAACAAGGAAATCATAATCAGAAAGCCCCGAACGGTAGGCCTTCTCGGGGTTAAGGTAAGTAATTATAAGGGTTTCTAGAAGGATTTAGTGTTTAGGGGGGTTGCCAAGAAAGTTCGTATCAAGGTTAGCCAAAGGGTGAGGCTGTTACTAGGGGTACTGCATGGAGTTGGCCTTGGCTTGCTCTAACGGGAACTGAAAGGGTTACCAGCTCGTGGGCTAGCTGCAGGGCAGATCGCTGGCGGAGACTCCTCTTTAGTCCTTCCTTACAGCCTCTAGACCCAAAACCCTGAACTAGCAGGGACCCTTCATAGTACCTCAGAGTACGTTCTGGCAACCCCAAAACAAAGCTCTTACAGGAACCCCTTTCGTAACCTTTATAGGATCCCTGGAAGGAACCCTTATCGGAGCTCTGTAGGAAATCCAAACGCTAAGCCCTAAAACCCCTAAACCCTGGATCCTATACCCTAAACCCAAAACCCTAACCCCAAGCACCCAGCCCTAAACCCTAACCCCTAAACCCTAAACCCTAAACCCTAAACCCTAAACCCTGAACCGTATACCCCAAACCCAACACCCTAAACTCCAAACACCCATTGTGTCCTCTCTGTTCTTTGGGCAGATCAGCTTCGAGGGCGTGGAAGACGTAGCGCTCCATGCTTTGTTGGGCACCAAGTACGGTTTAGGGTTTAGGGTCTAGCCCTAAACCCTAAACCCTGAACCCCAATTAAACCCTAAACCCTAAACCCTGAACCCCAATTAAGCCTTAAATTCAGGGTTTAGGCTGTTTTTGGGAGAGATCCGGGATCTGGGTGCCGAGCGTTAATTAAAGAAGGTATCCTTTGAAAGATTCCTTTCACAGTTCCTATAAGGGATCTATGAGGGTACTCTAAGGTTGGGGATTTTGCGTTTACGGTTTACGGTTTGGGGTTTTGGGTTTAGGGTTTAGGTTTAGGGGTTTAGGGTTTAGGGTTTAGGGTTTTGGGTTTAGGTTTTGCTCTAGGGTTTTGGGGTTTATCTACATGTTTGTACATTTCTGTTGAGTAAACCTCCACTCCATAACAATGATTATCATGGGCATCCCAACGTTACTCGTATCGCCGTTGCCGGGTGGGACTTTGTTCATCAGGGGTCTATATTTAACCCTGGCTCCGGAATTATGATGATCTGGCATATTCTTCAAGCAGTACGACGTATTGGGCTCTCTAGGAACAGCTGCTTTGCATGTGAGAGACGAGCACTTCGGCACGCGCAGACCTGCAGAGGTAAGTTCAGCTATGGTGGTAGGTTGCATTCCTCAGAGCCAATTCTTCGCCAGGGTCTACTGCGTCTCTGTGCGCGGCATTCCTCCAGAGAAGGCTTGCTGGTCTTGTGCAGGATCGAGTCCGTAAGGTACTGTATAGAATTACCCTTACCCTCAAAGGACTCATATTTTAAGGCTTTTAGGCCCAAAGACCCTCTTATATGAGGCTTTTGGGCTATTTTGATACTGAGGGTTACACCCCAAACCCTAAACCCTAAACCAAATCCCAAGGACTCAATAGCGAGATGCTGGAAAGGGTTGCCGCTGTGACGTTGCAGAGCCGAGGTCGATGCAGAGTCTCACCTTTCCTTTTGAACCCTAAACCCCTAAACCCTAAACCCTGAAAACCCTAAACCCGAAACCCGAAACCCTAAAAGCCCCCAAACCCTAAACCCTAAACCCTAAACCCTAAACCCTAAACCCTAAACCCCTAAGCCTATACCCTAAAAGCCCCCACCTAA